TGTGTGTGTGTGTGTGTGTGTGTGTGTGTGTGCGTGTGTTTGAATATTTTTTGTACTTGTATGGTAGCAATTATTTTGCAATCAGGGTGGACAAACCAGTCCAAACCAAATTACATTACTCTGATTTTCCAGCCATGCAATGATAGCGTATACGGTGGCAATTGTTTGTGAGAGAGTGCTTTATATGCGTGCCTATGCTGTTGCCTTTGTGTGGGTGTATATCTTTTGTGTATAAGTGGATATGTGCGTGTAGGAAACCGCTTCTCATGTATAATAATTATGCACCGCAAACATATACAACGAGTAGGAAACGGAAGTGCCTCTGTGTGTATATATGTATACACACGCACTTAAGCGAGAGTGTATATATTCGTCCTGAAAGACCATGGCACATACACTGCGTGTACAGTCGAACATTGAAGCATCGTCTGGCGTCAAGTACTCATCCATGTAATATTTACGTACCCAATGAATTACATAAATATCCACCTAATGTTTATGCACCCAATAAAATCATATACATCCAACTAATATTTATGTACCCAATGAATTACATATATATCCACCTAATGTTCATGCACCCAATAAAATACATATATATCCAACTAATATTTATGTACCCAATGAATTACATATATATCCACCTAATGTTCATGCACCCAATAAAATACATATACATCCAACTAATATTTACGTACACAATGAATTACATTTATATCCAACTGATGTTCGCACACTCAATAAAACACATACACATCCAACTAATATTTACGTACCCAAACATATACATCTGACTAATATATCATGTACCGTGTACTGAACACCTGTATAGGAAGCGGCAGACGCGGAAAAGCTGGAGAAAGCCAAGATCGCTCCATCAGAGATGTTCAAGACGCGAACGACCCCTGAGGGTGCTGCCCTGTACACAAAGTTCGACGATAAGGTGTGTGCATGTATTCGTATGATGTAAGTGATGTTATTTGTGTGTGTGTGTGTTATTTTTTTATGTAAGTGATGTTAATTGTGTGTGTATGTATTCGTATGATATAAGTGATGTTATTTGTGTGTGTGCATGTATTCGTATGATGCAAGTGATGTTATTTGTGTGTGTGCATGTATTCGTATGATGTAAGTGGTGTTATTTGTGTGTGTATGTATTCTTATGATGTAAGTGATGTTGTTTGTGTGTGTAAGTATTCGTATGATAAAAGTGATGTTATTTGTGTGCGTGCATGTATTCGTATGATGTAAGTGATGTTATTTGAGTGTGCGCATGTGTTCGTATGATGTAAGTTATGTCATCTGGGTGTGTGTATGTATTCGTATGATGTATGTGATGTAATTCGAATGTGTGCATGTATTCGTATGATGTATGTGACGTAATTCGAATGTGTGCATGTATTCGTATGGGGTGAGTGATGCTATCCATTGGTCGCATTCTCACGGCATAGAATACTTGAAGTATCTAAAGCGTGTTAACCTATACCCTATAGACTCAGTTTAGAGTTCAGGTCTGCTCGCACTTTATTTCATATCCATACGTCTATTACACATGACATATTAACGTAAGTATCAGACTTACACGTGTGTTGCATAATATTACCTAAAACCCTAAACCCCTAAAATTGTAGGGTATCCCCACGCACGACGACGCAGGAGAGGAAGTTGCGAAGTCCCGAAAGAAGAACTTGATGAAGGAGTACACGAAGCAAGAGAAACTTCATGCCGCCTACCTTAAGACAGTGCAATAAAATGGTTAGCGTTTAAGTATACACTTTGATAGATTCTAGATTTTAATCGTACACTGATAGTTTCTAGATTTTAATCGTACACTGATAGTTTCTAGATTTTAATTGTACACTTTGATAGATTTGTTATATTATAGATTTTGATAACTTATGTTATAGGTGTTATAGGTTTCAAATACATACTTCGATAGGAAGTTGTAGGTTTTAAATATATGCATCGATAGTCTTAACGTTGAAGGGTTACAGATTTTAAGGTGATACTTCGATAGGTTATAGATCTTAAGTATATACTATGATAAGTTATAGGTTTTAGATATACACGTTGATAGGTTACAGATTTGAAGTATATGCTCTATGTTATAGGCTTTAAAAATATACTTCAATAGGTTCTAGGTTTTAAATATATACTTTAATAGGTTGTATGTTCTAAATATATTAGTTATAGGTTACTGAATACAAGTATATAGTTTGATACAATATAGATATAAAGTATATCCTTTGATAGGTTATAGGCCTCAAATATATACGTGAATAGGATATAGGTTTTAGATATATATTTTAATAGGTTTCATCAGGTAATAACTATATACTTTAACAGGCTATGTTATAAATATATGCTTTAATAGGTTATAGGTTATAAATATATACTTTAATAGGTTATAAGTTTTAAATATACAGGTTGATAGGTTACAGATTTTAAGAATTTTTCTTGATAAGATATAGATTTTGAAAATATGTACTTCAATATGTTAAAGGTTTTATGCACTTTGATAGGTTACAGGTTCTAAATATGTACTTTAATATATTATAGGTCTTATGTACTTTAATACGTTACAGGATTTTATATATACGCGTTGATAGGTTACAGATTTCATGTATATGCTTTGATAAGTCGTATGTTTATACTTTGAAAGATTTTGGATTTCTGGGTGAGTTCTTTGATATGTACCAGATGAGTGTACCTTGCATCGTACCTTGGGGACAGCAGTGATACGAACAACATAACACACCTTGGCTCCTATATGTACAAGACACAGCATACGCATTGCACACCATATACGAAATATAAAAGTAGAGATACCGACGGACATGTGTTGTACTCGACTGGCGAGAGACTATTTTAGCAAGATCACATTTGTATGGTATGAATTATATATATGTATATATACATATA